AGCAAAATGTAGTTCGATAAGTTAGTCAGTTATGTTAGGAGCGTCCATGGTATTCATTTTCAGTGTTTTTTTTCTCCGCACCTTCGTATTTTTTTTTCCCGCCAGACCTTGTGAAAGAGCGTTGGTTTAAAATCTAAACCCTCCCTCTAATCAAATGCCTAAGGATCTTAAAGTGACAGTGCAACCTGAGTTACACCATCCTGGTTAAACTGTCAGTTTCCCATAAAACCTCTGTCTTGGTCACTAATCTATAACTTTTTCTTCATACAGTTATGACCATTATTTTATAAATATTATTTACATAATAACATCATATTGGTGGTTCATTTATACAATTCAATTATTTATTATGACAATTATTTACTATGAAGAATTCCTTTATGTCACAAATCTCCCCATCTCACCATGGGAATTTTCCTTTGGACTCTTCTTGAAGCTTTCTTAACACTATGTAGTTCGTAAGTTCTATCTTTTAACATAGAACTTACTAATGATGTAGCGCTAAGAAGGTTTCAAACCGGGCCTTGATCCTTAAGGCTCTCCCCAGATTGTTCCTGGGTAAGTTGCCATCATCAGTCGAATTGAGTCATCAGCTGGAATTATTTGCCTTTCACCAACCTTCAAAAACAAGAAAAGGGCAGTACAAGGTTTATTCCAACAAGACATAACTTGTGACATACCCTGTGTCATCTTGCACTGAAGTTCCTGTCTGAGTGGCATATTGGTGTGCTGGAAAAAAGATAGTTTGGTACCTGAAAAATATCTTCTTATGAATATAATTAAAAATGTATCATTCAAGTTGGATGATAGAATTTACACAACATATAGTTTCTTGAAGAAATTAAAAAAGACATTTGCACAAACTGTATATTCTGTGAAGTGTGTTCAAACAGTCTTGCACCTCTTCTTGTAATGCAGAAAAATAATTATAGGTCATTCCAATTACTATGGCAAAATGTGCTGTTTGTCTTTTTCAACTGCTGCAAGGAAGATAAACAATTTTATGTGACCTCCCTAATACTTTTACTAACCAAATTTCATATCCATAAATATTAAAAGTTGTTAATAATAAACTTGACTTCGAGGGACTGTTAAATGAATTAAAACAGTACATAATTACTCTTCAAGATTCCACTAACAAAAAAGCAAAATGAACTGTTATGTTTTATAAATGATGCAATATCTTATTTTAAACTGCAATCTGCATTCTACTTCCCTAGCCTCTTTTTGCTTTCTTGTGTTTAGCTTATACCATTATCTTGTATTCTGCATTAATAAAGAACAGAAAAAACACACATGCTCTGTAGCCATAATCCAAGTGAATTGCAGGCTGTTGAACAGGTGTTACATCACGCCCACTTTTCTCCGATGAATCATTAACACTGCTGTTAACCCTTTATGAAAGCTCATATGTCAGATTTCAAGAAAAAGATCAAAATGTGTTGTTTAATTCGTTAAACCAGAGGTGGACAGCATTTCAATTAAATATATTTAAAATATGTATTTAATTACTTTTCAGTTTTTCGTAATTTGTATTTTGCCAGATCTGATGTAATTTGTAACTAAATAATTTGAGAGATTGTACTTTATGTATTTAAAATACTGAATAAAATGTGTCATTTTATTTCTTTATTTTCTGTAATTTTAAGAACCTTTATCACCTGGCTTACATACTTTTGGATATAGCCTATCACCGTCTTTAGCTACTTGCAAGTAGATGCCAGTAAATCACATAGACACTGCAGTAATCCAAGAAAACAAGCTGCTTTTGGTGCTTGGTGCAAATTGTCTTAAGTTGATGTAGTAAAATATACTATCTAATATTGCTCACTGAATGTCATTGTATGACAGAAAAATAGAGCAATTAGCAAGCAGCAGTGCAGTGCTCTAGAACTTGTCGATTTACTTGCTAGCCTGCTAGTGGCATTCTGGGTAATTTCGACAGACATGCTCAGACAGTGGCATCTTGTGGTTGGTCATATATGGAAGCCTTCATTAGCGATAAATCAGGCTAGCTACTTTTGTTCCTAAGGACAAAACTAATTTCTCTAAGCTAAACGTAGGCGTTTTTATGGCCACTGAGTCTGTGGAAAAGGGAGAAGCGCCTGGTGACACTGACGTAGCATATTATATTCGTCACAGCCGCTGGTTCCTTTTTTGTGCGTATGTCTAAAAATACAGTGGTACCTCGGTTCTCGGACTCCGCATCGAATCCTAAAAGGTTCGAGCTCTGATCGAATTTTTCTCATAACAAATAATGGAAAACCAATTAATTGGTTCCCGGCCCCCCAAAATTACACCTAAATATGTTTTTTTGGCATTTAAACACAAAATGAACAGGATTTTTTCTTAATGGCTTCCAAAACGATAAAGATCTTATCCTAACATTACCCCTGTCCTGCCACGATCGTCCGCACCTTCCGTGTGCCACGCCCCCTCGTTAACCTCGTGTGGGACACCCCATGTGATCAGCTGTTTCTGGTTGTTGTCATTAGTCCTCTGTATTAAGTCCGCGTTTCAGTTTGTTTCCCCAGTCCGGTCATTGGGTGCGTTCGACTTGCTTACAGCGCTGCCTTAAAGCAACGCATTCTGATCCTGACGCAATGCATTACGGTTAGATGCATTGCGACCTCTCACCCGGCTGCACAAACTGGAACCTCCTCCGTGACGACACACCTTTGCCCTTATTGGCTGAAGAGTTTAGTTACACGCATGACGTTTGTATCCCAGGCAGTTCCGATGCGTAATCTGCTATTTCTCCCGAATATCACGTAAAGCAGTGAGAACTGGTTTTCAGTTAATTTACCTGGTAAAATAAAGTTTAAATAAATTACATAAATGCTCTAATAGTACACGTAAGTTAGTGGTTTATTTATTGTTAGTTACTGTAATATTGCGCTGCTTTATTTGGTTAATCGTCCAGTCTGTGAAGAAGGCATTCAAGTAAGAATTGCATTGTATTATGACTCATTTCCTGGCGCGTACAATTTATATTAGGTCAGCGTTCACTTCTGATCGAGTTCTAGGTCAAACTGGTTTATTCGCCTTTCAAGAAATTCGAGTTCTATAGTGAGTTCGAGAACCGAGGTACCACTGTAGTTAATTCTCTGAGTTTGTGCATGCTGGGCACCCTACTGTAAGACAGAGAGACATACACGCATTGTGATAATTTACAAATAACAAATAAAGTTATTTGCGAAGTACAAGTAACTTGTATTTTCTTTTAAATACATTTTCCCGCATCAGTATTTTGTATTTTATTTTGTTACATTTGATGAGCAAGTATTTGTAATTTGTAACAAATTACTTTTTCATGTATTTGTGCCAAAAATGTTTACGCAGCAGCCAAGGAAGAGTATTGTTTGCGATATCCCGTAAAATCAAGAGAAACTAAGGAAATAAACTGCTAATATATTTGAGGTTATATATTATATATATATTCAATATGACAATAAACAATGTCCAGAGGGATTAAATATTAAGGGAGTGTGTGTTTATGTAGCACTGATATTCTTCATCTATAATAAATATTCTGTTTTCATATTTATAAATCACTGATATAGGAACAATTTAGCTGTAAACCTAGCCTTGAGCCACACTGGGAGAGCTTTGCCTACAGAATTTGTCGCGGTGGTCGGGATTTATTGTTATGTAGTCCCAATGGATGAAATTGAATCGCTCAAGAGCAACTGATAAATGGCCTGATTCTGCACTGGGACGCCAAGCCTCACTCTCAGCTGCATTATATGTGTGCCTATGTGTCAAAGGAGAGTATATATGTTGGGATATGCAAAAGGAAGTATTCAATGTACATGCACTCGTATTTAAAAATTACTTTAACACTAATCTTTCATCCACCTTGTAATAATTATTTGAGTTACAGTGCATTGATATTATAATTCTTTGACTTAAAAATGAGGTCAGCTAAATTCTTATTATATGGCTTTTCAAAAGTGAAAAAAAGTAAAAAAAAAATTAAAAAAATCGTGTCTTCATAACAAAGAAACCCACCATGGAAATAATCTGTTATAGTTTCAAATTATTTGCATACACCAAAAACAATTAATTATATATTATATGAAGTATCTGTGCTAAACTGTTTATCTATGTGCTATTCTCCTCACTTAATTGTACATCGCTTTGCATAAACGTCTCTGCTAAATACAGTAAAATGTAAATAGTAAGAAAAGAACACCGAAGTCAGAAGCAGTTTTATTGCAAGACTGGTATTGTTGACTTGTTCACTTGGCAGTAGCACTCGTGACCCAAACTTAAATAAAAAACCAATTATAGTTAAACGTCTTAGAAGACTGTATTGGCACGCAAGTTAATTTGCAGTGTTTGTAATAGCCTTGTATGTTATTTCCTGGTTAACCAACAACAAAGGAAAAAAAATACAAAAGGCTCCACAATTACTCATTCACATACATCCTACTTCCATCTGCATATCATGATTGTCACGGTGGCTGAATGATTCTAGGCATTACAGCAACCAACGCTGGGGTACACCCTGGCATGCCAGTCCATTGCAGGACACACACGCTAAATGAATGTCTTTGGACAACAGAAAAAAAACCTGCACAATGTGATGACATGTAAACTCCACACATACTGAGCGGAAGAGGAGTTCGAACTCCCAACCCTGGGGGCAACAGCGATACCAATTAAGCCAACCTGCCACCACAATTACACACAACTTCATATATTCCGACATCCACGCCCTCAAACTACAGTTGACAGTTTTGCCTCCGCTAAAGGGAAGAGGACACAAAGCACGTGTACTAGGCGTGTCATAGACTCTCACGTCAGCACAAAGGCATCCCAGCTGTAGCCAATACATTTAGGAATACGCAAATATATTCAAATTAACACTTTTTCTAATACGTGATTGGGTAGTATAAGGAGATGTGACCAATCGTTCAACGGATTTCTTTCTAAAGCCCGCCCACCTCTTTGGCGTTACACCCGGAAGGGTTGCTTTTTAAAGGGTTAGTGTCGAGTTTTGGGGGTGGTGGCGCTGAGGAAGCGGCTGGATGCGGGTTTCGGGCTGTATAAGGACGTAGCAGAAGAGAGGAGCAGCTCGGAAAGGTCTCGACGGAAAGGACGAGACACGCGTACGAGGAAATAGCCTTAAGTCGGCGTAGCTCGTTTCTTTTGATAAGTAGCTCCCAGTGGTTTTATGTCTCATAATTGCGGTTTACAGCTGATTCAGATAGAGAAAGGCGTGAATCGTTCGCTGGTTGAAAAGACAAGAGGTGTTTCTTCAGTGACTGGGGAATGTTAGAATTAACCCTGTCGTTGCCTCACTCCTTTTTATAGATATTTAGGTAAGTACAATGCTTAAACGCTGGCGTGTGAAACAATGCACCACGTTATTCATGGTTCGGTAATTATGTGTCGTTATAATTTAGGCGACGATACTATCCAGGCTGAATATTCTTTTCTTAATGGCATATACTTTATTGTCCTGTCGTCAAATGTTCCGCTCTGTTGCTATGTTTGACGCGAAGGCAAAGATCAAGAAAAATATGACTCCTTCATATTTAATAAAACTGGCGATAAATCTAATTACGTTTGAACACTGGGTCCTGTGCTGGCATAAGCTAAAAGTGACGGCGAAATAGTGCAGGATATGCTACCTCCATCACACAGTTGTTGAGACAGGAATGACAGACTGCATGTCATTATCGGTGGCTGGCTGGCGTGTAAGCCCTTCGCAGGGGGGCGTTTCTGTGCTTTTATTGTCCAGAATTCCCATTGCTTTCTGTCTGTTATTTCACAGAATCGCATTGTTGCATTATTGCCTCTCTCATCGTTTTATTGGCACCTCTTTTGCTGTAATATTTTGTTTTAAAATGTAAGGCTGCTATCGGGGGATAAAGGGCTTGATTTGGTAACGTTTTGTCTTTGAACGTGTGTAATAATTTTCGTAGACACTTTTGAGACTACACTTTTAGTTGGTATAAGTGATGGTTGTCTTGTAACCTAGTACACTTTTATCAAAATTAGAATTTATTTGAATATCATTTAAAGAAGTTATTAATAAACCAATGAATTGATGCATTGATTAGTAATCTATGTACAGGCTTTAATAAGATTTTTGTTGTTTCTGTTGCTGCATGTGAATGAACTCGTATTGTAGAATACAGTCCATGTTCATTTATGTTACTACTGAACTCTTAACGTCATTGACCGCCTTGCACATTACAGTGGAAGTGTGATCATTTACCATATTTTGGTTGTGTAGTTATGCAGAAAAGGAAATGTGAGATTACAGAATGCCATGTCATCATACCTATAATATCACAATGTCCGTTATTGTCTATGTGGGCGAAGGGCGTGAGTTTAGTTTCAACAGTGACAGGGACCAAATCAGGCCTGACTGGTAGGGGCATGTCGATCCTTATCGTCCATCCAAATCTACGCCCTTGACAGGGGCATATAAAACCCATTCATTCCAACTGATTGATTGAAATTAACTTATTCACAATATATCTGTAATCGACCTAGGATTTTATGCTAAGAATTAAATATGTTCAAATGATTTAAAATGTACATTTATATATGCCATAGGTTACCCTGACTTCAGCCATGTAGGGATGACAATGCATGAATGTACTGTTGTATCATATTCAAAATGCTTGATAAAAACCAGTGAAATCTTAAATTAGAATTATCAGGTGCCTAGTTTATAAGTTATTAATTACCATATCTAGCCTGCAAATAGCTGTTGTCAATCTTATGTACTTTTAATCTCAATACCCCATGTTCTCCCCGTATTTCATGTTCTCTCACTGCATGACTGGATTTCCCGCAATAGTCCAAATACGTAAAGTTAAGTAAATCACTGTCTTTAACTGGCTTGAGGTGTGTGATTGTGTGTTGCCTTGGGATTTATTTCCGCATGATCCCTGCCTTGCGCTCTGTGCTGCCTGGGGTATTCTCTCTGACTCTGTACAGCATAAATAGCTGGAAGTTGATTGATGCATAGATTATTTGTACCGCCATGACCCTGATGAAGATAAGTAGTCTATGGATGGATGGATTTTTTTTTGTTCATAATTAGATTTTTAATATCTCACACTATAGATTGCTTAATAGCATTAGGTGCCTTGTGTAATTTATGAGTCTTATTCATGGACCTACCATTATTGCTGTTTTTTTTTTTAAACCATATATTCTAGTTAGGGTCACAGGGTGTGAGGGGGGCAGGGGTGGGCTAGAACACAAGGCTGGGGTACACCCCTTATGGGTCCTTAGTCCTTTGCAGGACCCATACACATATGAAATTAAATAGAATGGGCATTTTAGAGACTCCAGTTAACCTCACTACATGCCTTTGGACTGCAGAAGGGCCCCACACAAGGAGGCTCTCCACACACAAAGGGCAGGGGTGAGAATCAAGCCCCCAGTGCTGGGGGGGGTGAGTCACCAAGGCACCCTGTTGCTATTCCTCAACATAAAAGGAGTTATTCTATAGCTGCAAATAACCTAATTTTCCCCCCATATTGTTGACTTCAATTAAAAAAGCTGTTTACATGCAATTATTAAATGGTCTCAGATTTTTATATAGGGAGTGTCATTTATTTTATTGAACTCACAAAGCTGTTTTGTAGGAATTGGTGATTTGTGTACCACAAATTGTCGGTCAATCAAATTCTGTAGGATCTCTCTCTTGTATTATCCTTATGTCTGCATAACTACTGCTGCTGAAGTTGGAGTGGCGCTTTTTGATGTTAGCTTGCTACCCCGACCAGGATAAGATGTTACATGATGGACTTTTTAAGTCAAAGCATATTACAGAGCAATTTTCTCAAGTGATTTAAGCATCCAGGTTAAAGTTGTGTGAATCTGCTCAATGCACAAACCACCTGAAAGTGATTATTTTACTGCCTGAGAAAAAAAAAATTAAAAAACTGAAATTGAAATTGAGGACTAACTAGGAATTCTGAAGCAACATCTCAAGACACCAGCCACAGCTGAAACTTGGCTGCAGCTTAATCTTCCAGAAGGACAATGATGCTCAGCACCTTCAAAGGTCATAATAAAATCGCTTAAAGAAAATGAACTGAAAGTATTACAGTGGCTGTAACAAAGTCCTGGCCTGAATACCATTGACTGTGGACTGAACTGAAAAAGCATATCTGAGGAAGGAGGCCCACAATCCTATCTGACTTACACTAGTTCTGTCTGGCAGAATGGGGAAAATTCTGTCTTGTCTTATCTTATCTAGTCTTGTGAGTCTTGTGAGAAGCTTCTGGAAGGATACCCTAAGCATTTGATTCAAGTTAAGAAATTAAAATGCAATGCCACCAAATTACTAACAAAGTGTATGTAAATTACTGGTATAGTAAATAAAGGCTGAAATAAGTGTCTCATGTATTATTTTGACATTTCCTCTTATGGAAATAAAGTAGGTACCTGATAGGTTCATGCAGACAATCCAACACAATGTGTATGGGATTGTCAGCTATTGATTTTGAAAGTCTTTAGCCTAGGTGTATGTAAACTTTTGTTATGGACTGTATAGTCACAGAGTAGCAGCAAGTGAAACTTACAGGACAAAGGAAGGTGATGCTTGGTGCCTATTTGACCAGCTGTGTCCATTTTGACCAGTGCCTTAATACTGGACTTGGCTCTTTTCAAGAAAACCGTTGCACAATCAGTGTTGTATTGTTGCTAATTCTTTATTTCTCATAAATTTAAGTCATGTGAGAATGCATGGTTGTCCAGTGTGCAATCCAAATGTCATGACTCATCTAGGTCTTCATAACCGCATTACTGACCAGATCTCTGGTAGCAGACTTCAGAGAAGTATTTATCATGATTCTGCTTTTTTTTTTTTTTTTTGCAATGTTATGGCATAAATTCACAACTATGGTTATTTGAAACAAAGCTGTATATCTCTTAACCATGATGGTATATCACAGGTTCACCATGACCTTGAGTTGTAAAACAGTTGGGAGATGCATGGAAATATGGTTTGATGTACAATCCATTGAGTTTTTTTTACTGATTCATTCATATCAGGAAGATCTTACTGCACTAATGTCAAAATACTTCTTTGAAATAGTCCTCTTACAGAGCACAGTTATTTGAGGTATGTTCCAGAAACATTATGGAAGATGTCATAGATAGTTCCCTCTGGTAGTATAATTATTTCCACTCAAAGGGACACTGCAGAAAAGTAAAAATTTTCAAACAAGTTTTAACATGTCAAATAACTATTACTATCCTGGTAAACTAACTCTATATTGCGCTTGTACATATCATTAGAAAACCAGTGAGCTTTAAATGCTAACTCTTTAGAAATCAAAGAATCTGGGTGCAATTTCTGAGGCATATAGTGGAATTTGCAGAAGTATTTCCCTGTCTACAGGCCTTTTTTTTGGTGGGGGGGGGGGAACTAAAAAAAGATCCGGCCTGAGTTTGTCATTATCTGCTGGTAATGAGCAGAAAATATGAATCGGTAACCATGCACACACTAAACAAGACATAAAACAACTGCAGCAGATGCCTTGGTCTTTACCAGCTATTTCAGTTTGTTTTGTATTCCACTTAGTAACGACTTCCTGACAGTTTTGGCCTGTTCTTAGTGTTTCCTCATCAACTCACAAACCAAAAGGAGTTACCCCTGAAGGTACACTAACTCCTTGTCATTACTGGGCAGTGTCAGTGTGACTGATCTGGATCTCTGATAAGTAGCTTACCACTTATATAGAACATTTTGTCATGCATCTTTCCATTTTCTAATTGTTCATCCTGGACAAGGATTGTAGAGGGTGGGGTTGGGGCAGTGCTGGAAAAATAAAATAAAATAAAAGTAAATAAAAATGAAAGTGAATGTCATCCAGTGTAATACTACTCGAGTAAAAAGTACCTGTTTTTAAACGTACTTATGTATTGAAAGTAAAATTTACAAAGAGTAACTTATCCTTTTAAATTCACTCAAGCCATGTTTGAATATAGAAGTATAGGTTACGGGGCATCACAATAAGGAAAAGTGAGTCACAAGAGGACAAGCGGATATTTTCTTTTTATTGCATGGTTTCTGCAAGTTTCAACAAGTTAAATTTAAAACTTTTTAAGACCATTACGGATGCAATTTAAGACCTATTTCACATCCATACTAGCAAAAAACTACGAAGCATATGAAGGAAAATCAGAGTCTCAGAATGACTTGCAAAGTAAATTAATTTATTCAACATGAACATTCAGCTAAAGACGTCACATTAGCCCACACACACCACATTGTGACACACTAGCTGGATGTTCTGGAATAAACTCTCACCAGGCTATACAGTTTGCAGTTAGTGGTTATTGATTC